CTACCATTCCATCTGCCCTTGATCCTTAAAGGACTTACCACTAGGCTACAAAGGCATCAGAATTCTAGAATAGAAAGAGAGAAGTTATCAACTACAACATTTCCCAGTATGTTTCCACTCATAGCAACATTAAATATGATAAAACTACTTTCTAGCAACAGACCCTGGAAGCTGGCTACTCTCCCCAAGCCTTATGCCAACAAATTGAAATAAAATAAGAGTTGAATGTAAATTGCAAAGACATGTAATTTCTGCTGAAGAAATTCCTCCTATTTTTCTACACAAACCCAACTCTCCCCAAAATTCCACTATCTCCTTAAGATTATGCTAATACTCAAGCTGTGTGGAAAAAAAAAAAAAGGAACTATGGTAGAAGAAGAAAAGGAGGCAGAAGGGAAGACAGGAGAGAAAATTGAGAACATATTATCTGAAGATTAATAAAATTAACTGTGGTGTAGTTATTATGGAAAACAGAATGGAGATTACTCAAAAATTTAAAGGGGTGCCTACATGGCTCAGTTGGTTAAGCATCTGCTTTCTGCAACAGGTCATAATCCCAGGATCCTGGGATTGAGCCCCACGTTGGACTCCCTGCTCAGCGGAGAGCCTGCTTCTCCCTTTCCCGCTGTTGCTCCCCCTGCTTGTGCTCTCTCTCTCTCTCTCTCTGTCTGTCAAATAAATAAATAAAATCTTAAAACAAATTAAAAATAGAATTATCATATGATCTAGCAATTTCACTTTTGGATATTTATCGAAGAACATGAAAACACTAACTTGAAAAGATATGCAACTCTATGTTCATTGCAGCATGATTTGCAATAGCCAAGATATGGAAACAACCCAAGTGTCCACTGATGGATGGACAAATGGATGAAAAAAATGTAGTATATGTACATATGTATGCGTACATATACAGGCACACACACATATATACATACACTGGAATATTATTCAGCCATAAAAAAAGAATGAAATCTTGCCTTTGTAATAACATAGACAGACCTCAAGGCATTTTGCTAAATGAAATAAATCAGATGAAGAAAGACAAGTACCATATGATCTCACTTATATGTGGAATAAGAAAAAAAATGACACACACGACAAAAACCTAAAACAAAAAAAACTAAGCTTATAGATACAGAGAAGAGATTGGTATTGATAGAGGCTGGCAGTTCTTGAAGAGTATCAAGATACAAGCTTCCAGTTATAAAATAGGTCATGGGGATGTAATGTACAACATGGTGACTATAGTTGATAATACTGTATTACATATTTGGAAGTTGTTACGAAAGAAAGTAGATTTTAAATGTTTTCATCATAAGAAAAAATAATGTTGTAACTATGTAAGTTGATGGATACTAACTAGAGTTATTGTAGTGATCATTTCACAATTACATAAATACCAAATCATACTATGTCATACACCTAAAACTAATATAATGTTATATGCCAATTATACCTTAATAAAAAATAAAAATTAATTGTGAATAAAAATTTAAAATAACTAAGAAGTATTAAAAATAAAAACTGGAAAAGATGAAACAGATTACTATCAGAAAGGTAAATCATACATTATAAATCAGTAATAAGATGTGTGGTTATAAAAAAAGCCAACAAATAAATATAAGTAAAAAGTGAAGAGAAGGTAAAATCTAGATCATAAGAGGAGAGAAAATGTCAAATAATTTTCAGAAGTCTTTGGTCAAGAAGAAAAAGATTTGGGGGGGCGGGGAGATTTTTGAGAAAGTTTTTCTTTGCAGTTTCTTTTACCAGTCTAAAACACTTTGTGATTTTAAGAATTTAAAAATATAACCTACATAGCTTAAGTTCGTCACTAAAATAATCACCTTTGACACATTAAAAAGTGCAATTGGCTCAGATGATTGCAGTTTTTAAAATTTAGTGAGTTACCAACTCTGGAACTTACTGTTGATTTATGAGAAGCAAGATGAAACTTAAGAGTATAAAAAGTTATAAATTTCACCATATAGCAAATGATGTTAACTGGGCTTATTTCTTCCCTACCCATTGGATATAAAAATCTTTTTTAAAAGATGGCAAGGAGCAGACATAAAAAGAGAACACTCATTGGACATTCTTGCCTCATAGATGTTTATCTAATAAGCAAACTTGAGTTGAGGGTCTGGCTGCCACTGACCAGGTGTAAGTGCTTAAGATGATCATTTCTCCTCTCTGGGCCTCATGTTTCATCTTTAAAAATCAGGGGGTTGGATCAGAGTGCCATCTGGTTCTAATTTAACCTGAGAATTCAAAAGCCACTGGGGTGTAACCCACGGCTCCTGACCCAGATTGCCCCCCAACAAATTCCTTTAGGTATGAAGTGTTGATTCCCCCCCCGAGTGCTAGGACTCTTGGTGGCTGGTGGCTCTCAGGTGCATCCCTCTCTAGGAATTGCCCTTCAGAGACATCCACCCAGATCAAGGTTATGGCCTCTTCCTGGAAGCAAACTTTCATCCAGTGACTGGTCCCTCAGGAGACATAAAGGCTGTCTTGCCTCAGTTCAGAACATGCGACAAGGCCCTCCAGCCAGGGAGCTCCTGTGGTGTCAGCGGAGGACTCTGGCATCTGGATCACAATTCAACTTCTCCCTCTGCCCAGTCCTGCCTCCTTCATTCCCTACTAGGTGTTGAAGATGAGCACATATCCCAGTAAAGTTCCTGCAAACCAAACGTCCACATTTGGGTCTGTTCTTTTGGGAACAGGATATGGAACAGGCACTAAATCTCTCTTCTGTGAAAATAATGTGCCTCCTAGAGGCAGAAATGTTTGAGTTTGAAATTTGGATTGTATTTCCTGTTCTCATCATCAGGAATTACAGAGCTGATACTACTATCCAGTAATTTTTTCCACAAAACATACTAATGCATTATAAAATTATTTCAGAAGAATAGGATAGAAATGTAGAAACACTACATCTTAAGATTTTCATTCACTACTTTAAAAATAAAAATGCATGCTAGTCTAATTTTTAAAGAAAAAATTAGTAATTTTTTTTTCTAACCTTTGCTTCTCTGAGGAAAATAAAGTGTAGTACTGATAACTAAAATAAAAAGCAGGGCTATAAAGAAGGGGGGAAATGCAGAGGGAAAAAATAACAATAGTTGTTTTAATAATAAGAAAGGTAAAAAAAATCTTAAGGAGCAGAGAATTAAATTTAAAAATGAAATAAAACTGAAACATTCATTTTAAAAAATCCTCAGAGTTAGAGAGAAAGAAAATTAAAAGACATACATGATAAATACTATCACTCAAAACTCATAGGTCTCATAAACTAACCAAAGTTTTTATATTCTTTTCTGAATTTGGATGGATTCCTTTCTTTCAAAGTCTTTTTTTTTTTTTTAAGAAATGTGTAATCTTTTTTTTTCTTTCCCCAAGTTTTTTTGTTTTTGTTTTTGTTTTGTCCTCTTTACATTGTTTTTTCCTCAACTGTATAAAGGCTTCATCATGCCCAGTACATTTTGGACAAGACACTACACTTCTCTGTTACTGGGGGTAACTCTCCTGTTCACCCTGTAGTTTACTATTGTCTCATTCTTGCATATGTCAAGTTCTTCTGCATTATTCCAGCAAACAATAAAGAAATCTTAAATCTTGACCTTGAAAAGGCAATTGATAGACATTTCTCCTACATAAATTCAGCTACCTCCCCTGCAATTCAAAAACAAATTGTCTACCCAATAAATTAGATATTTCAGAGCTACTTGGAGCCTGGCAACAAGAGAAACCCTAGGTCTTGGTAAAGTAGCAACAGCTGATTTAGTCAGCATGGAATGATTCTGCATCTGATCCCTGCCAGGATAACAGAGGGTCTTATTTACTGTCTCTTCCCTTGATTCTTCTAAGTAGGTACTGTTTTCTGTTTACTTATCCCCTAGCTTTAGGCCCTGGAACAATGTTGAACATAGTGTCACTGGCTCTGGTGCCAGACAGGATTAGGGGCTCTGGAATATTTACAGTTTCCCTTCTTCTGCTTCCATAAATGAAATGGGCAGCCTGAATGGAGGAAATCAAGGGCCAGCTGGCTACAAACACAACTGGCAACAAAGCACTTGGGATCCTTCCAAGAGCTGGTGTTTAAAGAGAGGCCATTTAAAGAGCAAATTCCAACCACCATAATAACGGTTCAGGACACTAGCTGTAAGACGAAACAAAATTTTACTCAGCAATATTTTTGTTTCCAAAGTTTGCAACCTATTATATGCTCCCTTCTTTTTAAGAAAATTTTCTAGTCTTAGTCAATCCTTAAAAGACCAATCCATTACATCTTAACAAATGACAAGTATATATTACATACTTTGAGAATGTATATATATGAATTCTGGCCAAAGTGTTATTTTTGCTTAAGCTCATTCCTATAAAATCAATAAAACTGTTAAGAAATTGAGAAGGAAAAGGAGAGAAATAAGAAATGACACAAGAATTTAGATGGGATGGCATGGCAGACAGCCAAAGGACACTTAAACTAATTTGGGAGGTTATTAATATATCATGAAGCCAATTGACAAAGGTAGATTTCCTTTGTTAAATAAAAAAATATTTCCATTCTGGTATTTAAGAAAAATTCAATAATCTTCATGGGGAAAAAGCATGTTGGAGTACTACTCAATAAACAATACATGGTTTTTTGTTGTTGCTGAGTCCTGGTAATGACAACCACAGACTGGCTATTTATTAACCCTAGAATCTCTGATAGGTGCCAAATCAGAAATATATATGAATGCCATATTCAGTGAGAGAAATTTAAAATGTAAATAATTCTATACATGATGAGACCATAATCATTTCACAATCCAGGAGCAGACGAGTTTGAAGGTGAGCCTCTCTTTTTCAAAGATTGAGAAGAGAAATGGAGGAGGGACCCAGAAAAAAAGTAAAGGGGTTCATCAGCTAGGTATGTGCGAGGCATAGCTGTTCTGATGCTATAAATCCCAGAAACGGGTAAAGCCAGTAGTTTGAGACCCTCTGGAGGGCATTACCTCGATATAGGGCACAATCTTGCAAGAGAAGTCCTCCAGCAGCCACTTCTTGGTCAGCTCGTGAAAGATGACGAGCGGAAGACAGAAGAAGATGATGAGAAAGTCCCAGAAGGCCAGGTTGGCCAGTAGGGAATTGGAGATGCTCCGCATGTAGTAGTTGTGACACACGATGCACATCACCGCCAGGTTGCCAACGATGCCAGTCCCGAAGATCACCACAGACAAACACATGACTGCATAGGCTCCGTATGACTCCTGGGTCAGCGGGTAGAAGGGGTTCTTTAGTCGCAAGCGCCGGTTGGTGCTATTCCCCTGGCGGGAACCCCCGCGTTCGTGGACCCCTTCCCCTGAGGACCCATTCTGGGCCAGAGCCCTGCCAGGGGGTGCGATCGTCCGCCCTTCGTGCCCCGACGGTCCATTGACCATCTTGGGTGGGGTGTCGTGGTGGGAACCCTGGAGTTTCCCGCCTCTCCTTGGCCAGTAATAAAGGTCGCTGGCTCCGGGTTCTGTCCTCACACTCTGCTCTTGACTGTGCCCAGAAATTCCAGCGCCTCTGGGACCCTTCTCTTTCCCCTCTGAGGTCTGAAGGAAGAGTTGGAGAGGCGGAGGGTTCCCTCTCCCCAAAGTTCCAGGAAGCTCCTGACCCCAGGCACCTCTCCACCTCCAGGCTCCAGACGACCTGGCTGGAGGTCCCGAGGGCTCCGCGGCCCACGCCTCAGCCCCTCTTCCCGCACCTGGGTCACCGCTCCGGGAGGCCCTTAGGTTCCACAAGGGCGCCGCCCGCACCGCTGCCGCCTGCTCCTCCTCCCTGGGCGCACGGGTTAGCAGAAGGTCTTCTGCAGAATTTCCCAGTCCCCACGCGTCCCTGCTGCGACGCTGGCTCAGTGCAGGTGAACAGTTTTCCCCCGGACAAGTTTCGTTCCTGGGCGATGGAGCCGACGGGAGGGCAGGCGAGGCAGAAACCTTGAGCAGTAGCAGAAGCAGCAGCCGCAAGGTGCGGACGAGAGGCGCGCCCGGGGCCCGCATGGCTCGGTGAGGGCGCACCCGGCAGCCGCGGTTCCTGGTTAGGACCGACACCTGCTGCCTAAGTTGCTGCTGAGAGTTAGACACATGTCACAACTCACTCCCGCCCCGGCAGCGAGGGACGGGAGCTTACGGGGAGGCTGGGGGATGGGTCTTGGGTCACAAACCCTCCCCCTCTACAAGCCTTCCTCTTTTGGCTTTCCGTGCATTTCTCGGCCAAATCCAACCCGAGCGCTGCGTATCCCCAAGGTTCAGAGAGGGAATCGCTGCTCCCGGTGGCTGACCTTGAAAAGTTGCAACAACACCTGACTTGATTAATGTTGCGACTGGGAGAAGCCCGGACCAAGCCCCCACGTTCCTCCCTGCCTTTGGGTGGTTGCCTTCTTGGTAACAGTTGCTCTGCCTATTTACATCCTTCCCATAGCGCTTTATCCAGTTGGTAACAGTTGCTCTGCCTTTTTACACCCTTTCAATACCGCTTTATCCAGTTGGAAGCCGAGGTCGCTAAAGGGAGAGAAAAACAAGTTGCCCTTCTTCAGATGACTGGCAGCCTCAATCCCGCTCCCGGCTCGCTGGAAACAGGTAGCCAACAGCAGACGCCGCGCAGATGCGCCGCGGAAACTCTTGCCCCACCTAACCACAGAGACTTGAGAAGGTACCGCTGCCGAGGAGAAGCGGGTTTCCAAACCCGCGGCCACTGTCAAAGTTGCTTCTCCTCCTGCTCAAAGTTGACCAGGGGGCGGCGCGGGCTGCAGGGCGGCGCGTCCTCGCGGACAAGGGAATCGGTGGTGGGGGTGGGGAGGGCGGGCGCTGCTCCTCGGTGGACGGTGCCCGCGGCCGAAGGAGCTGGTTACTGCGACAGCAGGCGCAACCCGGGCGGAGAGTGTGGTGCCTGGAACCGCCGCGGGCGAGGCGGTGCATGGCCGGAAAGGGGGAGGTGGCCCGGCCTCTCCCCGCCGCTCCAGTCGCTGCGCGCGCGGGCGAGACCCAGCGCTCGGCTCCTTGCTTCCTCCCCCTCCTCTGCCTCCTCCGAGAGAGGCTGGTTTGTGCGGAGACTGGATTCCCTGGTGGTTTACGACTCACTAAACCCACACACGTTTCATTCAAGCCCTTTGTAGCGGCTTTCACTCGTAGGAGCTCGAAGCCGAGAGGGAACAAGGGCGGAGGCGCGGAGCTAGGGATGGGCGGGACCCGTTAATTCCCGAGATGTCGGAACCAGCTTGACAGGTCCGGGAGACCGGTGCTCTCGCGTCCAATCCGCTGCGGCGGGTGCGCATGCCCAGGCCTCGGCCCCGAGGGAGTAGTAAGGTGAACCGTTCACCTCCTTGTATTCCCAAGAGCTGAGACGCGAGAGAAAGGAAGCTCAGAGGTTTCAACCATAGAGAAAGAGCAGTTCCGACAGTGGGACGCTGAGCGAAAATGTTCAGGATGCACCATTCCCTTTAACACTGAGTTAGGAGGAATGCTAACAAGGGTTACTTAGAACGCTCGGAGTACAAAGAAAGTAGTTTTGTTTTGTTTGATGAACTAGTGGGAAATGACAGGTGGGCGGAAATTAACTTGAAATAACTGCCAGTATGGCTGACCATGCTTTCCAACCTTTACAATAAACCCTCCACACCTGCCACAGTTGTTCAGGGTATAGTTAATAAAACAGACAAATATAATACAAAATAGACAAACCGGTTCAAAGAGAAAGTGATACAGGAAGAAATAAATGCATTTTTGAAGTGAAAAAAGGCAACATCTAGAAAAACAGGAAAAAATACGATGAAAAATACGATGCCAATTGTGGCGAGTATAGAATAATGGCCCTCCAAAAGATGTCCACATCCTAATTCCTAATACCTGTGAAGATTTTAGCCTTATTTGGCAAAAGGGACTTTGCAGATGTGATTCAGTTAAAGATCTTGAGATGGGAAGAGTATCATGAATTATCATTCAGGTGGGTCCACTGAAATCACAAGGGTCCTTACAAGAAGGAGGTAGGAGGGTCAGAGAGACCTGGGGCAGTGAGCCAAGTACTGCTGGCAATCTCTGGGAACTGGAAAAGTCCCTGACTGCTCATTTTAGACTTCTGACCTCCAGAACTATAAAATAATGAATTTGTGTTAAGCCACTAAGTTTGTAATAATTTGTTGCAGCATCAATAATAAACTAATATACCAATTAATCTGAAAATGTAGACAGCAGCAACAATTTTATTGAAAAATATTAACTACCAAAAATAGCTCAAGAAGAATTTTTTAGGAACCTAAAGATAACTGTAACATTAACGAAATCAAGCCATTCATTCATCATGTTCTACCTATCGAAAAGCACTACACATGATCAAATCCTAAGGAGTAATTACTTTATATGAAATGTTTCATAACTGCCCAACTAATTTTATGAAGTCATAATAACCTTAATATCAAAATTAGACGATGACAGAAAAAAGAAGAAAAGGGCTAATAGCACTCATTTATACATTAACTAATTCATTGACATACAATAATTATCTCAAGTGCATTAGTCCATGAAACAAATATTCTGCTCATGTTATACAGAAGAGCAGTGAACAAATGAAAGGTCTGCTCCCTCTGAATTTATATTTTCTTGGGGGAGACAGATAATAAACAAGTACATATACAATATGTCAGGTGATGATTACTATGGAGAGAAGAATGGAGAGTACGGAAATAGAGTAATGGATGGGGAAAATATGTTCTTTTATAAGGATGGCCAATGAAAGCCTTTCTAATAAGGTGAATTTTGAATACTTATAAACATATAATCCAATAATCCCAAATAAAAGCCTGACAAATTCAACACCACCTCTTTTTTTTTAAATATGGCATAAAATAGGGCTTATCCTAGAAATGTCAGGATAGCTTAACATTTAGAATACTTTTTAATGATTTATGAAAGCTAGCAACTTATGAAGTTAAGGAAAAAAATATTAATCTCAAAATGCAGGAGAAGCATTTGGTTAAATGCAATCATCATTCATTATGAAAACTATTAGCAAACTAGAAATAGAAAAGAAGACTTCTTTAATATAACAAATGTTAATTTAAAAATAAAGCAAACATTTATGTCAAAATAGCAGAAACATTCCCTTTAAAATGAAAACAAGACATGGATCACCTCTTCTATAATCAGCACTGTACTGAAAATACTTACCAATGAAATAAGACAAGAAAAATAAATAGTTGTAGTGAAGAAGTACAATTGATGTTTTTTGTAGATTAGATAAGCCTATATACAAAATTTAAAGTGAATTAACATTTACATAGGTACTAGTTGTAACTTACCAGATATCAAGACTTACTTAACAATGGTCACAAAAAGAGCATGATATTGGTGCAGGGAGGACCAAAGACACAAATGAAGTAGAACAGAAGACAGGGAAGCATGCATAAACTTATGTGAGAATTTGATATAGCAAGAAAACTGCCATTACAAAAATGATAGTTGAACTAGTCAATAAATGGTACTGAAATACATTGACAATCCATAGAGGAAAAAATAGTTATATTTCTTTCATCATACTATATACAAAATATATTTCAGAATAAAGATCTCAATATGAAAACTAAGTATTTAAAACATTGAGAAGAAAATATAGGAAAATGTCATTATGAAATAAAAGTGGAAAGGTTTCACAGAAGAAAAAGTACAAGAGATAAAATGATAAATATGATTTACTTAAAGTTTACATTTCTAAACCAACAAGGAAACCATCAGCAAAGTTAAAATCAAGCCACAGAATGGGTGTTGGTTGTGGTATAGAAGAAGTAGTGAGATCTAGTGCTGAGAAGTCTAGCTTCAGTGGGTCTTTTAAAGACCCGAGACATGCTATGATACAGGTTTATAACTGCCCACTAGAAATATTTTATAGTGTGACACTTGAGCACACTCGCTCAAAGCTGAATTATTATTACACAAGTGATCATAACAAAATGATATAATTTCTATGAATTTGCAAGCACATTGGTAAAACTCCTGAGAGGACTTTCCAAGGTGGCCCCCCCCAGCAGTATCCCTGCTTTGGAACATACTTATAAAGACTTGCTCTGGGGCTAACAGGAACAAATATGGAAGCACTCACACGTGTTGTGGTCTTGAGGTTCTTCACTATCATTTTATCATTTTCTCTCAAGTAATCCACGTTCTACAGAGATCTTTGGAATTTACTTTTTGGTCTGCAATGGGACAAAAGGACTGGCTTCCACTATCTACAAAAACACCTGCAAATATAAGAAAAAAAAGATTAATTTTAAAAAGATAGACAAATGAAATCAGGAATTTCACAGAGGAGGAAACCTAAAGGAGCATTAAAAATGTGGAAATATGTTCACTCTAATAATTAGAGAACTGCAAATTATTATAACAATGGCATGCCATTTTACCTCTATTAGACTATAAAAGAGAATGTCAATATCCACCTGTTTGAGAGGACAGGGAAAAAATGAGAGCTGTCATAACCTGCTCTCCGAAGAGAGTAATTTGTCAATACCTTGGAAAGTTAATGACGTTTATACCTTGTGAATATGAAATACTACCCATGACAATAAGCCCTAGAGGAGCTCTTGATGTGGGCATAAGGATATATTTATACTTGTTTTTAAGAATAAAAAGAATGGCAACATTGCAAATGTCAATCAGTATAGGAATGGAAAAATTAATTGTAGTATATTTATAAAAAAGACAAACTAGATTTACACATATCAACAAGGGTGAATCTTAGAAATATAAATGTCGGGGGGGTGGAAGCAAGATTCAATGTCAGCTATACTATGCTGCCATTCATGTAACTCTCAAAAAGAACACAAAACACTACGGTAAACCATATATGATATATCATAAAAGTATCAAATATATAGAAGGAAAAAATACACATCAACTTCAGAATATTAATTACCTCTCGGTATAGAGGGATGGGAATGGAATGAGAGAGTTTCTACTCTAACTATAATATTTTGTATTTTGTTTCTTTAAAAAAAAATTCAGGAGGAGGTAATTTGAGTTAATTATGGAACAAGAAAAAAGTAGTTGCTAAAATAAAACCAGAGATATTGCCTCCCCTCTTACCTCATTAGTTTGAAGTTTGGGTTTACAGAAGTAAGCTGGTTTTCTATCCTTTTACTCAAGATCACAATAATGTGTCACTAATTTTCACCTTTATCCAGAAAGGAATTCAAACTCAATAGGGAAAAATCCCTTTGCACCCCTCCCAGAAACCCACTGTAAGAGACACATGCTTGCCCAGAGAAGGGCATTATTTTCCGAGTGGAAGCTGCAGAAGAACTAAGGTATCCAGCTTGGGGAGTTGCTTAGGAAAAACCCGGAGGAGGGGCTGCCTTTGCCTTTCTGAGATGATACCTCCTAATTCATAAGTAGCCCCTTCTTTAACCTGAACAATAGTGCCTTTCTATTAGGAGGGTGGCCAAACCCTGGCTCCTTTAGTAAAGGTTTGCTGTGGCCATGAATAAGACTACAGAGAGCTTCAGCCATCCTGCTGGAGCCTGGGATGATGTAATCATTTATCTTCTGGGAAACCCTTTTCTGATCTGTAAAACAATGATAGTCATACCTGCTCTCAGCTCTGCCCACCCAAGTCAATATGATGATGACGCAAACATAAAAAGACTTCATAAATTGTACAATATTATCTTTGTTCCTTTTACTATTCAACTATTTGTTGCTACCAGCAAAATTTAAATGACTACAAGAACACGTAAGC